AGATTAACACAAAAATGAATAGGACACAACCTTGTTGATGTATGTACCCTATGTTATACAAACACAGAGAGAAATGTAAATGTGCCTTACCCTGTAATTGCTAAGTGTCATGGTATATCTTATTTCTCTATATATTTCCTCCTTATAATCTATTCAGTGCCTGTGCAGTGACGACAAAACACAAGCTTGTGGGTATTCCACAAACAAACAAGCATATGTGCAATAAAAAAGAAAAAAAAGAAAAAAAAAAACATGCATGTGGTTGTCTCACACAAATACACACACACATACACACTTCTTCACGCAAAGTAAATAATGCATTTATTTGTAATAAGTGTTTCACTGTCTTTCCTTTGTGGAAACATAATACTGTCCAGTATATAATTTACATTTCCAACAACAAATATGGGTGAAAATAATTCAAATTGTACAAAACAAATAAACCAATAACAGAAGAGAAAATAAAATAAAAATAAAATGTATGTATGCAATGCCATTTATCATCTAGGTAACATTTACTATAATCTAACTACACATAGTTTTACTGCTAAAAGATCCCAGCTCAGGTTTCCCATTATTCAATTTATTCAGCTCTTATCCCAGTTAAACAAAATTGATAATTTCTCCTCCTTTCACACATCGTGTAAAACAGCTCCAAATGAAATTAATAGAATATAGAAGATATTCATTCTCATTACAATCCCAATCACATAAATTTGATAAGATCCCAAATAATGAGTCAGTTGATTCTTTTATTCAATTCTTAGTTAAAATTATTCTTTACTTTTGTTAATTGCCCTATTTCATAAATGTTTCACAATCCTCTTTAGAAGAGACTGATTACCTAAAATCAAGTTAATAATACTTACTATCATCAATCAAAAACCTCCTAAGCCAGGATATATTGCTCATACTATGTATCTGATTCTCTTCCATCTTCCCATGTACTAAGCCCCAAAGTTTCTCAAGTCACATTACATAACTTTTGCATTTATTCTTGCATAAATGCTTCCATACTTCTTAAAAAAAAAAAAGATAAAATGACAAAACTGATCTTCTGTCTGTCTATGCAACGCAAAACCATTCCCAACAATTTGTTTTAAAAAGAAGTAATTCTAACCTTCCCTTCATTGAAAAAAATGTAACTAGAAAATGAAGTTTTCTTATAATTTACAGAAATACAAACAATGCAGGGATCTTTTACTTATTCTCTGCACATTTATACGAACTAAGTACATTAACAAATAACACGAAATCAACAGTCAAAATGAGTTATCAAAACCTACTGTAATATAGAAATTTTTACCATAAGGTTAGGGGTTGTATGCAATATTTCCTGGAAATAAAATGACACCCACAAACATCCACTGATATAACAGATCAATGGAGGATTTCTTATCCCTTAATACATTGCCACCAGGTGACTGCAGTATCCACTGTAGTTGCTTTGTGAACTTTTACACACAAATGGCTCCATAAATAATTATCCCTTCTATTTTTCCAAATTCTTTTCACATAATCATTGTTATTACCACCATTATTGACAGCATTACTGATATCATAATAGTTATCAATACTTAAGCCAATGAGAAATGAAAAAACAAAAAATCTCCAAATTTCAAGGAAATGGGTAAATAGGTGAAATCAAGTAGGGCTAGTATCTGACACTTGGTGGCTAGGCCCTGGTGGAGTCATTTATGTATAAGCAATATTAATAAATCAAAATAATATTGGACATGGTATGTATGCACATGCCATCCCAGCATCAATGGGCTAATAGCTATCAAACTCAACAGTATCAAAACTAGGTGGCGAACTAGGAGAAATACTAAAGAAGATGCCTGCACAAAATGTTTTTCCAATAATCGAATGCCAAAGGCATTTCATATCTGACAGCACTTCAACCCTCCGTGGCTATATGAATGTCTTTCACCACCCAAAGAAATATAAGGCAAGTAAAACATACTTTTAGCCCCTACGATCCGGATGACATGACCATCAAGTCATAAAATATTAGGCTTATGGAGATAGTGATGTGAACATACCATCATGGAATATCTGGCTGTGGACTGGGGATGCAAACTTGCAATTGTGAGAATTTCAGCTGAAGGCTAGGGTGCTGGGAAAGACTTGCCACAAGTGCAAAAACCTCTTAGAGGGTAATTAGACTCATTTGGCATTTAGAAATGGGCTTTTGCATTATTCCCATCGTTAAACATATTTGGAATGCAGTGTCCATGACCCATGACTGGAAGAGCACTGGCTCCAAGGAGGACACTATTTCTATGCTCGGCATCCTATTCCTGGCTGCCATGATTGGCAATGCAGGCTGTATTACAGAAAACTGATTATCATATAAAAAAGTTACTAACTGTTATTATTCTTGCATGGAGTTATGGACTACCTAGTGAGATGATATAGAGCATGTGCAAGAAAAAACAGTCCATTTGGATTAAGCAAATCAAATGACAAATATGGACAGCAGATGGCAAAAGAGCTA